TTTTTACCCCGCCCCTCTAGACCATGTCTACTTTAGAGACTCCCCCTCCCCCGGGGGGTCAGAGGGGGCGAAATTGCCACCTCTGAGACTTTTTTGAGGCTTGGGAAGCTTCAGAAGACTCCCAGAAGGTGGCAATTTTGCCCCCTCTGGCCTCTGGGGGGGGGGCTGGGTGAGCCTCCAAAGGATCCTAGGGGGTGTTCCATAAGACGGACCTCTCCATAAGGCTCACCAATTTTTAGGAGAAGAAAATAGATTTTTTTTCCTGTTTTCTTCTCCTAAAAATTTGGTGCTTCTTATGGAGAGGTGCGTCTTATGGAGTGAAAAATACGGTACCCTCCTACTATCCAGAATTAACTATTCCTTTTCAGTCCTCTTCCCCTTATGTTAAAGTACAGTGCAGCAAATATCGCTGCTAACCGAAAACATCGCTAAGCAATTTTAAAAGCCCATAGGAATGCATTGAAACCCCTTCAATGCGTTCCTATGGGCAAAAAAACTCACCTTTAAGCGAAAATCCTCCATACGGCGGCCATTTTCGCTGCCCGGTATGTGAGGAATCCGTCCCAAAACACAGCGGGCCGCCATGGTTTTTTTTCCAGCGGCCATTTTGGAACCGCCGATCAGCTGTAGGAAAAAGATCGCTATGCGATAATCAGTAAGCGAAACAGCTTACCAATCGTCACAAAGCGATTTTTTCCTATTTAAAACATCGCAATGTGATCGCTTTTTCGATCGCAAATTCTTCGTTGCTAAGCGGTTTCATCATTAAACGGGGCACTTGTTAAGCGAGGCACCACTGTACTAAGTATATCAGTGCTGGGAGGGAAAGAACCGCTGGGGTTTGTGGCTTCTACAATTTATCTATTTGTTGTAAGGGAAATCTCTGGCAGGGTGGATAAAAATCAATATTTTTTTTAAAAAATGAAAAAATCTATTTAAATCATGATTTAAGTCACTCTGCTTCTCTGGAATTAATAAAATATATTTGAGGTTAATCCAAATATTTGTCCAAGGTACAGCAAACCAATTGAAGCAAAAGTAAAAAAAAAAAAAAGTTATGTACACCCCATTGATTTAGGGAGTCTGTTCTTGTTGGGAGTAACAATTGGGCTTAATCCATAATATTTAAGAGAAAGTATGTGTGCATGTATGATCCCCTTCCCACATAGACACGTGCAAAAAAATTACAATTGTTTTGTTTTGTTTCTAAGCCCTCCCAGACCTGGGGCACAAGGCAGCTTCCCATATGGTTAAAAAAACCCAATACAGTTAAAATGCAAAACATTAAAATTATTAAAAGGGAATTTTCATTATATTATTAGAATACAACTAAAATAAGAATATTTTAAAATGTCTTAATTTAAAAAAATAATTAAAAATTGTTTTTAAGAAGAGAGAAGACCAGAATATTAGCTAAAACTCTTTGGTTGGAAGGCTGTTTGTATTGAAGGCCTGTCTAATTAAAAAGGTATTTACCTGCCAATAAAAGGACAGGAGTGATAGGTCAATCCTAATGTCTCTTGACATAGAGAAGGCCTTCTTGAGTTCCCACTAACTGTATATCTGAGGGTGGTGTGACTGTGAGAAAGGGCCTCTCCAGCAGATCTCAAATCCCAGACAGGCTTGTATGGGATTTTCAGATAGCCTGGATGCAAATTATATAGAGCTTTATACGTCATAATCAGCAAATTGTGACTGGAAACAGTCAGCCTGTGAAACTGTTGTAGTAAAGGAGTTATATATTTCCTCTAACTAGCTATTTTTGAGCGGTCTGGCTGTGTTGTTCTGGAACATACAAAGTTTCCAAACACTTTTCAAAGGCAACCTCATCTCGAATATATTACGGTAATCCAATCAGGATTTAGCTGGCATGTCTCACCATAGCCAAATCAGAAGTCTTCACAATCAGTTGAAACTGGTGGACTGGGTTTAACTGTGCAAATATATTTCTGGCCGCTACCAAAATGCATCAAAGTTGAGGATGAATCCAGGAGAACACCCAAGCTGTGAACTTGAGTTTTCAGAAGTATAACTCCCTCCAGGAATTCTTGTTCCCTTATTTGCCATCCATTTGACCAGAAGTACCTTTGTCTTGTCTGGCTTTACTTTGAATCTGATTTCAGTGTAGGTAAGAATAATTAATGCAGATATATCAGACCATAGAAATTTCTTCACAAGAGGTGCTTTTTAAGTTTCTCACAAAGGCTACATTGAGCATTACTAATTTTCACGCTGTGAAGTACAATTTTACAATTTACCCTGTTTCCCTGAAAATAAGACCTAACCTGAAAATAAGCTCTAATATGATTTTTCAGGATGCTCGTAATATAAGACCTACCCCCAAAATAAGCCCCAGTTAAGTGAAACCCTGCCCTCCACCATTGTGCAGCATTGTGCAGCAACCGGAAGATGACATGACTATAAAATAAAACATCCCCTGAAAATAAGCCCTATTGTGGGGTTTTATGGTTTTTTTGAGCAAAAATTAATATAAAATCCTGTCTTATTTTCGGGGAAACATGGCAGATTTTTTTGAGCAGCACTACTTTTTGAACATCACTTGTATTTCACAGAATAGTATATACGCTACTTATATACTGCTGAGTTAACTGGTGATGTTCATCAAATGCAAGACAAATGAGTTTCTGTTTTGCCAAGAATCTTAATCTCTGATTTATAACGTATCTATAGTTAGTATAATGTGTCCTGTTTTGTTTTATTTTTATGTTACAGCTCTTTCATTCCATTTACTCTAGGTCAGGATGGCTGTCCAGTTGGCTCCCTGCTTGGTGTCCCACATCACTGGTACATCTTAAAGAAGCAGAAGAGAAAATGTTGAAATGTAAGGACTTTGTGGTAAGAAGTCACCACTTGACATGATTCTCTTATGTCTTCCTCCTCTAGGACTAATGGGAGGGAGAGACAGGAATGAACAATATTGAAGGAATTGCACTTTTGCCACATGAAAGCGTCTAATATCTAGGAATCATCGTCGTTTAGTCGTGTCCAACTCTTCGTGACCCCATGAACCAGAGCACGCCAGGCCCTTCTATCCTCCACTGCCTCCCGTAGTTGTGTCAATTTCATGTTGGTTGCTTCGCAGACACTGTCCAGCCATCTCATCCTCTGTTGTCCCCTTTTCCTGTTGCCGTCACACTTTGCTAATATCAAGGTCTTTTCCAAGGAGTCTTCTCTTCTCATGAGATGGCCAAAGTACTGGAGCCTCAGTTTCAGGATCTGTCCTTCCAGTGAGCACTCAGGCTTGATTTCCTTTAGAATTGATAGGTTTGTTCTCCTTGCAGTCCAGGGGACTCTCAAGAGCCTCCTCCAGCACCACAATTCAAAGGCATCAATTCTTCGGCGGTCTGCTTTCTTTATGGTCCAGCTCTCACTTCCATACGTCACGACAGGAAAAACCATAGTTTTGACTATTGGGACTTTGGTTGGCAAGGTGATGTCTCTGCTCTTTAAGATGCTGTCAAGGTTTGCCATTGCTTTCCTCCCAAGAAGCAGGCGTCTTTTAATTTCGTGACTGCTGTCTCCATCTGCAGTGATCATGGAGCCCAAGAAAGTAAAATCTGTCACTGCCTCCATATCTTCGCCTTTTATTTCCCCATATAAGTTAAATAAGCTGGGGGACAATATACAGCCTTGCCGTACTCCTTTCCCAATTTTGAACCACTCAGTTGTTCCATGACCAGTTCTAACTGTTGCTTCCTGTCCCACATATAGGTTTCTCAGGAGATGGATAAGGTGGTCAGGCACTCCCATTTCTTTAAGAACTTGCCATAGTTTGCTGTGGTCCACACAGTCAAAGGCTTTTGCATAGTCAATGAAGCAGAAGTAGATATTTTTCTGGAACTCTCTGGCTTTCTCCATAATCCAGCGCAAGTTAGCAATTTGGTCTCGAGTTCCTCTGCCTCTTCGGAATCCAGCTTGTACTTCTGGGAGTTCTCGGTCCACATACTGCTGAAGCCTACCTTGTAGGATTTTGAGCATAACCTTGCTAGCGTGTGAAATGAGTGCAATTGTACGGTAGTTGGAGCATTCTTTGGCACTGCCTTTCTTTGGGATTGGGATGTAGACTGATCTTTTCCAATCCTCTGGCCACTGTTGAGTTTTCCAAACTTGCTGGCATATTGAATGTAGCACCTTAACAGCATCATCTTTCAAGATTTTAAATAGTTCAATTGGAATGCCATCACCTCCACTGGCCTTGTTGTTAGCCAGGCTTTCTAAGGCCCACTTGACTTCGCTCTCCAGGATGTCTGGCTCAAGGTCAGCAACTACATTGTCTGGGTTGTCCGGGATATCCACATCTTTCTGATATAATTCCTCTGTGTATTCTTGCCACCTCTTCTTGACGTCTTCTGCTTCTGTTAGGTCCTTCCCATTTTTGTCTTTTATCATGTTCATCTTTGCGCAAAATGTTCCTCTAATATCTCCAATTTTCCTGAACAGCTCTCTGGTCTTTCCTTTTCTGTTATCTTCCTCTATTTCTTTGCATTGTTCATTTAAGAAGGCCCTCTTGTCTCTCCTTGCTATTCTTTGGAAGTCTGCATTCAAGTTTCTGTAACTTTCCCTATCTCCCTTGCATTTTGTTTCCCTTCTCCTCTCTGCTATTTCTAAGGCCTCGTTGGACAGCCACTTTGCTTTCTTGCATTTCCTTTTCTTTGGGATGGTTTTTGTTGCTGCCTCCTGGACAATGTTACGAGCCTCTATCCAAAGTTCTTCAGGCACTCTGTCCACCAAATCTAGTTCCTTAAATCTGTTCTTTACTTCCACTGTGTATTCATAAGGGATTTGGTTTAGATTATACCTGAGTGGCCCAGTGCTTTTTCCTACTCTCTTCTGTCTAAGCTTGAATTTTGCTATGAGAAGCTGATGATCAGAGCCGCAGTCAGCTCCAGGTCTTGTTTTTGCTGACTGTATATAGCTTCTCCATCTTTGGCTGCAGAGAATATAGTCAATCTGATTTCGATATTGCCCATCTGGTGATTTCCATGTATAGAGTCGCCTCTTGTGTTGTTGGAAAAGAGTGTTTGTGATGACCAGCTTGTTCTCTTGACAAAACTCTATTAGCCTTTGTCCTGCTTCGTTCTGAACTCCAAGGCCAAACTTCCCTGTTGTTCCTTTTATCTCTTGGCTCCCTACTTTAGCATTCCAGTCCCCTAGAATGAGAAGAACATCTTTCTTTGGTGTCAGTTCTAGAAGGTGTTGTAAGTCTTCATAAAATTATTCAATTTCAGTCTCCTCAGCAATGGTGGTTGGTGCATAAAGTTGGATTGTTATGATGTTGAAAGGTTTGCCTTGGATTCGTATTGACATCATTCTTTCATTTTTGAGATTGTATCCTATTACAGCTTTTCCCACTCTTTTGTTGACTATGAGGGCTACTCCATTCCTTCTACGGGATTCTTGCCCACAGTGGTAGATATGATAATTATCTGAGCTGAATTCACCCATTCCTGTCGATTTTAGTTCACTGATGCCCAGGATGTTGATGTTTATTCTTTTCATCTCCTATTTGACCACCTCCAACTTCCCAAGTTTCATAGATCTTACATTCCAGGTTCCTATGCAGTATTTTTCTTTGCAGCATTGGACTTTCCTTTCACTTCCAGGCACGTCCACAGCTGAGCATCCTTTCGGCTTTGGCCCAACCACTTCATTAGCTCTGGAGCTACTTGTACTTGTCCTCCGCTCTTCCTCAGTAGCATATTGGACGCCTTTCGACCTGAGGGTCCCATCTTCCAGCGTCATATCTTTTAGTCTTTGTTTCTGATCATGGGGGGTTCTTGACAAAGATACTGGAGTGGCATTGCCATTTCCTACTCCAGGTGGATTGCGTTTAGTCGGAACTCACCACTATGTCCTGTCCGTCTTGAGTGTCCCTGCATGGCATAGCCCATAGCTTCTCTGAGTTACTCAAGCCCCTTCGCCACGGCAAGGCAGCAATCCATGAAGGGGATCTAGGAATAGTGTAGGATTTTAATCAGAAGATACTAGGTCTAAGTAAACATCAGTTATTAGTTTCTTCCATTGGTAGGAAGGTGAGGTAGCCTGAATTCACAGTAGGCTGATCTGTCTTTTTCTCCTGTAAAGGAGTGACTAGGCTTGAAGATATTCTAGGGAAACAGTTTAGGGACCCATCCAAATGGGCAGTTCCTGTCAGATAATACTGTAAATAAAATAAATGGAAGCATATTTGTGTGAAGATGTAGGGCAAGCTGCATTGCCAGAGCAGCTCTTGTTTTGTTATTCTTGGCTTATCTAATTTGTGCAAAAGGTCTTCATTGAAAATGTGCATTGTATAACTGCTCCTGCAAAAATTTTACATTGTCGTTTCTAAACCATTTCCCTGACTTCTCGTATATGATCAGACCTATTCCCTTTGAAAAAAAAAATAATTTGTTTATAAAATGTTCTGCTCAAAAAAGAAGCATATGAGGTGACCCCCATTCTCTCTTCTTTATTATCTACAATTATGGCAGACAAAGGTCAGCATCCTAATGCAGGAATTATGTCATTGTCAGCTGCAGATTGCTTCTGACTGAAGAATTCTATTTTTCTCAGTTTGGAATACACACAGTTTCTTCTCATTAGCAAAAATCCTGTTGCACTTGGAGTAGTGCAAAGTTATTCCTGCAGAGGTTTGCAAGGAGTTTTGCCTAGGCAGTCCATGTTCCATATCTGATTGTGCAATTGATTGTGTAACTATTTCCATAACTATGCCTGCAGAAATGCATGCTGGATATAATTTGACATGAATTTCATAAATGCATATGCAACTTTGAGTTACACAGGTGAAACTATGGAACAGGATTCTAGCCACTGCATGGGAGTCATATACACCTCAACATTTTAAAAAAGTCCTTAATCAGAAGCAGTCTGCAACTGATGAGACATAATTCTTGTTGCACAGGCAGAGCTACACAACAGAATATTGGCCAGAATGTGTTCTTCTTTAAAAGTGATTAAAATTGTTCAAAAAGACCTGTGTCTGTGCACCTTTTTGGACACAATAGGGCAGTCTCTTACAACTCATTGATCTTTAGGCATTCTAAACTACTGAGAGCTGATAGGAGTTGTACTTCAAAACATCTGGAGGACACCAAGTTGGTGAAGGTTGCCATAAGGCATGTATGAAAAGTGTGCTTCAGCCTCAGGGTGGAATTCAGTTTCAGATAAATGAGTGGTGTTGGTTCCACTGGTTGTTAAGGCCTAATCCAAAATGATGGAACTGAAAATAAACACCATAGTTTAGTTTAGAGCTCTCACTCCCATTAACTAAGCTTCAGGAGAGACATTTAAAAAGGAGCAAAACTGCAAGCCATTAGAAAATGGTATCATGGAAACAGGATGTGGGATGCCCAAAAAGCCTGGATTCAATGCTATAAGTAGAAATGCAGATTTCTGCCTTTCCATATAAATGTAAGGAACTACGGGCTCTATTTGTTGAAGCATTTCTCCCCAATGTCATCTGCCTGACCCACCAGATCTTCCAAGGTTATGCTGTGTTGCCACTCCAAGGGAGGCTCGGGAGTCTTCTGTGAAGAGCCAGTCCTTCTTCATAGTGGCACCAACCCTATGGAACCAGCTGCTGGTGGAGCTACACCAGGCACCCTCCTTGCTACTGTTCAGAAGGCAGTTTAAAATACTGCTCTTCAGGGTGGCCTTCCATAATGACTCTGCCTGATTCTACATCACTGTTCCCGCTCTCATAGAGAAAACACCTTTGCATTACTGCTGTTTTTGATGGTTTTATGTTTATATATATATATATATTCAAATGTTTGTGTTATCTATTTTTCTTAGTGTTGTGAATTGCTCAGAAAAGTACATCATAGTAATTGGGTGCTATATAAAGCTAATGAAATAGACAGACAGACAGATAAGCTAATGAAACAGACAGACAGACCATACAAGGGAGGGACATGTGAGAACACATGCCTGGTAATGTACTTCTGCCTCTTTTCAACTGGTACTGCTCCCTTCTTTCTTGTTGTACTATAAGGTATCATACTGAGAGTGATGATAATTGCACACAGGACTTGCTCTAAAACTCTGGTTCTTGTGTTTCAGTATAGTTTTTTGAAAGAAAGGTAAGGTTTTGTGTTTTTCTTTCTTCAGGTATCACAACTCCATACACTAAACAGTATGTCTTCATATCCAATGGAAATAAAATATGGACACTAACATTCTCTCAGAACCTTTCACAGAAAACGCCACTTATTCTTCTGCATGGGTTTGGAGGTGGTGTTGGACTTTGGGCTCTGAACTTTGAAGACCTTTGTGAAAATAGGACTGTGTATGCGTTTGATCTCTTGGGGTTTGGACGCAGTAGTAGACCACAGTTTGACACTGATGCAGAAGTAGCTGAAAATCAATTTGTAGACTCTATCGAAGAATGGAGACGGAAAATGGGATTGGACAGAATGATTTTACTTGGACACAACCTTGGTGGATTCCTGGCAGCTGCATACTCACTGAAATACCCATCAAGGTATCTGAAGAGAATAGCCTGATGGAAGTTCTTCTACTTTATTAAAGATTTGATTGTAGTTTTGAAAGCATAACCTGGTCCTACACGTGTGCAGCATGGGGCAGTTGTATTACTTCAAACGCTCTACCTTCAGATGGAACACTGTTGAAAACACAGCTTATAGATCGAAGCCTAAAAAATAAATAAGGCCAGTTGTATCGTATGTATATTCACTTCTGATGCAACAATTGCATGCAACAATTTCTGTGATGTTTACTACTCCCAAATATGGTTTTGAATTGAGGGTTGTTTGCTCTCTGAAGACATAGGATATTTGTCTAAACTACCGTACAGTCAGTCTGTTTGCACCACTGTTCTTGCTCATGCATGTACCTTGCTACCAGACATAATGGACAGTAAGCATATTCCAGCTGTGGAGTAAATTAACAACTGCATGGCATTCTAAGAAACATGAAAATATAGTTTGGTTTCATGTATTCAGTCAGTGACCTGGACCAAAGAGTGACTATGGAACAGAACCCCTAAACAGAATAGAATCCAAGGAAGGAAGAAATAGTGAGAGAGATGCTAGAGACATCCCATTGGTGGTGGAGAATGTTGCACTCTAAAGAAGGAAGCCATGAACTGGCATAAACTTGTAGTGTGGGATAGGTTTGCACAGAACTCATTCTGGACTTTTAGGTATTTAGGATTGGTGTGTACAGGTTAACCAAACAATACCATGTTTCTTAATCTTCAAGGGTTTTTCACAGAATCATTGTTCGCATTAGGCACGGGATTTTTGGATTTTCTGGACTACGAATACCATAATTCTCTATCCTGGGAGTTCTACCTAGTTTGTAGGCACCTTAGAAACACTTCAATTTGATGCACCTGGGAGAAATCCCTAAATTCAAAGGCTTTTAGGTAGGCCTGTCTTTCTGTTCTGACCACAGTGCTAACTGGGAGCTTTCTATCTGAGAAGGAAGCTTGGACAGAGCTTGGCCTAGCTAAGCCTCAGATCTTTCCAATTTACGCCTTTCTCCCAGAGGCATCACACTGAGACATTTCTAAGGTGCCTGCAAGGTAGTTCGAACTCCTGGAATAGAGAATCATGATATTTATAGTCCAGAAAAGCTCCAAAATCCAATCTTTTAACTCACATGCTTATTTATGTTAATATGATTGATATACTGCATTCAGATATCACATTGAAGTGACTAACTACTGGCAGTATTGCTAAGTAGAATGTGGTCCTCCATATGTTGTTGGAATGCTAATCCCCGCACTCTTCACTGTTGACTATGCTGGCTAGGGTTGATGAGAGTTGCAGTCCCACAACTTTGCCCAGCCTTGTATGACAAGACATAATTGCAACAAGCCCTGGGTTCTTGTCCTTCCCTGTTGTCTAACATGGGCATGAGAAGGAGTCTGGAGTTTTGTTGGAGGACGCTTTTTCTCATCCGGACAAATGAGTCTTGGTTAATGTTAACAATGTTCTTCAGAACACGGCCAAAGAGCCTGAAAAACCCAGAACAACCAATGTTTGGTATGTTAGCTTATTTCAGAGAAACCATGGTCAATGTTAACCACACTTAAAAAGGGAAACAAATATTCTAATAGCTGTTCTGGAAGAGGGGAGGGAAAGCCTGGAGCTTGCTGCACTTTATCCTAATCACATTATAGGTGGGGTGAGTGGTCTTGAGAGGTTCAGGGGCTGCCTGAAAAACCCAGAACAACCAATGTTTGGTATGTTAGCTTATTTCAGAGAAACCATGGTCAATGTTAACCACACTTAAAAAGGGAAACAAATATTCTAATAGCTGTTCTGGAAGAGGGGAGGGAAAGCCTGGAGCTTGCTGCACTTTATCCTAATCACATTATAGGTGGGGTGAGTGGTCTTGAGAGGTTCAGGGGCTGCACCCATACCTCCCTTTATCTTGAAGGGCTGTACTTACCCTCATAACCCCCACCCCCAAAATTTCTTACAAAATTGTGGGGAAAACCCTTGCATCTTCTAGTGGCCATTTTTTAAAAAGGCTGTGGGACAGATCTTAGGGGTGCTGGAGGCTGATCGACATATGACAGAACTGAGGGCACAAGGGATTTTTCTGAGTCAGTTTTTTTTTCCCAAGCAAAATTCAAAAGTTTCCAAATGGGTGGGGGGATATGAGAGTGGAATTTGGGCCCCAGGATATGTGTGTCTGCCAACATTTAATTTACCCCATACTAAATGATAACCATTCAAACATTTATTGGCTGTAGTTGGCCTTTCTGATCCCTTTTAAGCAGGAGAGGGGGAACTATGCTCATCTTAGGCTCAGAGACCTTTTATCATACCCAGAGGTCTGCACACGTTTATGCATTTCTTGGAAATTTAAGCAGGACATTGTCATTGTTCTATCTATAGAATATTATTTTTAAGGAAATAAATGCATACTAGATAGAATCTAGTATCAGAATGAAAATACTAACAAATATAGAAGAAATGCAGTATGTGTTCTAGTCTTGGAATACCTATCTGACATAAAGGAAGCCTCATACAGCGTTTCCTTCTTTGCAACGTATAACTGAGACTAAAAGCTGAAAAAGTATTGATTTGCTCAGTATCTGTGAATAACTAGTGTTATTCAAACTGTTATTGCATAGATACCTTTATCTTTCACCTTCAGTTTCAAGATGAAAGGGAGCTATATCAGTATACAGTATGTGATGAGAGCACCATGTCCAGAGTGCCAGACAGGGATGGGGGACTCAAGTCATGTGATTCACTGTCCATTCACAATTAAGCCACACCAGTGACTCCACATGGACTTTACTGTTTTTTTAATGACTTGGACTCAACTCGCAACTTGGAACCTTTTTTCCAAGTAGATTCCCTATTGTTTTCGTTTTTTTTTAAAAAAAAATCTTGCTTCATTTATCTTTTAAACTGCTCCATTTTCCAGCTAGAATCCTGCAGAGGGAAATCACACTGCAGAAGCAGCTTCTGATTCATGCATGGCTCTCCCTCCTTTTGCCCAGACGTGTGTGTGTGGGTGTGGGTGTGTGGGTGGGAGGGAGGGAGGGAGGCAGCTTCTCCAGGACCCTGTGGGTGGACCTGCTAATAAACTCTTGCCGTGTCTAGAAGGTTTTGCGTCATTTTGCAGAGTGTTTGTGCATGCACGTGAGTGACTTTTTCCTCTTGAGCTGCGCTCCTGCAAGACACATATACTCTATCGATCTGCAAAAACTTGCAGACACAATTCAAACAGCAAACGTTTAGCAGCAGCTCCACCTACCCAGTCCCAGGGAAGCAGCCTCCCCCCTCTCCCCCCCACTCAGTCAAACAGAGAGAGAGAGCAGCCAGCAGTAGCCTGCCTGCGTGCCTCCCCCCAGACACACATGCATGCTTGCATGCGTGCGCGCGCACACACACACAGTGCAGAGCAATTTACCTCTGTCTGCAGCCTTTTAAATGAGGATTCCAGCCTGAAAATGGAGCTCTTTAAAGGATAAGTGAAGCAAGATTTTTTTAGCAAATTTTTAAACTTTAAAAAAATATTTTCAGGAGAAGAACAGAGAACAAAATTTGGTGTCTTAGCAGCTTCTGACCTCCATACACAGCTCATACAAACCCTACCCACCTCCTCCCCTTTTTCTTGAAAAAAAAAGCTTATTTTTCTTAGGGATCTGAAACTCCGAATTGGAGTTTGAGACATGGTATCAAAGACTTGGGACTTGATTTGAGTCTTACTACCAAAAACTTGCCAACATCCTGGCACCTATTGAGTCCGTAAGCATTCTGCATGCTTCTTGAAGCTGGAGAGGGAAGGCATAGATTCATTGTGACTCTCTTCTTGTGTCCACCAATTGAACTTAAACAAGTTCCAGGCTTAAGCATAACTTTGGAGTAGCTGAAGGAATTAAGTAAAGGAATTAAGCAGTATCAAGCAGCTGAGCTTTGCTGTTTTGGTTAGAAGAAATCCTGAAATACCATTAATTTCTCCCAGCACTTTAAGGGAAACTATAACATAGCTGAATTACCTGAAACATAAGTTTCAAATACATTATTTTGATGCATCTTCTTAACTTTTATATCTGCAGAACGAAACACCTGATACTAGTGGAACCATGGGGTTTTCCAGAAAGGCCTTCCAGTGCCGATCATGAGAGGGCTATTCCAATCTGGATCAAAGCACTTGGAGCAGTTTTGAGTCCATTTAATCCATTGGCGGGTCTCAGATTAGCAGGACCCTTTGGTGAGTGCTAATTACTATTTTATTTTAATGGCATCTGTTCTGAAACTTCACCTTCAACTTTAGGTCGCTTGCGCTTAGAGTTTAGCGCTAGCATGGTAGTGCTTCCTGGGAACAAATTTCTTGGAGTCAATGCATGGAATTTCATGTGGGCAAGTGAAAAAAATTGGTAGAGGAGCAGGGATGGCCCTATCCTTAGGTTTAGTAAGGTGGGGCCTTAAGTGGTAGAGCACAGGAAACACCAAACTTAACACTTCACTGTCACTCTTGATGGGCCTACTGTTTGACATGCACTGATGCTCACTCTACATCATTCTAGAATAGGCAGTTTCATTGGTGCACCTTCACTATGAGAACCTTCAGAGCTGCACATTCCAGGAACAGGCTCTGTGGGGAGGCAGCTTCTGGAAAGTGCCACATAGCTGTTTGCAGCAAGTTGCTGCCGCCAACAATAGCCATCACTACGTCCTTCTCATCTCTCTTCCTCTCTTATCTGAAGATGGAGGAAGGAATGGAGGTGCCACCAGCCACTCTGATGCAGTACAATGTGCTTAAGTGCTGCAGGGTATGCAAGAGTGATATAGGGCTGCCAATGAAAAGGGATTGCGCAATGTCTGAGGACAGTGCTCAACTTCCTGCCTCAAGTATCAGAAGAGGTTTGGTGATCCCTGTTGACTATGGGCAGAGAACTGTCCCTGCCTTTTCTTGTGCCTAGCATACAAACACATGTATCTGTTATAGGAGGGTGAGAAATAGCTATCTTCTGTGAGCCCTGAGCAGGCTAGTACTTTTTGCAAGCTTATTTGCATGGGTGCTTTAAGTGTCTCTTGGCTATGGTAATCATGACAGATACTAACAATTCCCTTCCTCTATATTCTTTCCTTGACGTTCAAACCTGAATTTGGTTGAAAAGCGTTCAAGGATTCTTGACATATAAGCATTGTACAACAGAAACGTTGAATCTTTCTATATTTACACCTTTTGTCCTCCTGTTCATAACGACATGCCAATAGCAGAGGCATGAAACAGACTATAAAATCCTTGTGTAACCAACCCCCCAACTCCCCTCAAAAAAACCCTTCTATACAGTGGTGCCTCGACTTACGAACGCCCATACCTATGAACATTTTGACTTACGAACAGCTCCACTCGCAAAATTTTGCTTTGACTTGTGAGTGGAGCTTTGACCTAAGAACAGAAAAAGGCAGGGGGGAAAGGCGGGAAATTCAAACCATTGGTGGCGAAGAGGCTGCTTCTTTGTAGCTCTTTCGCCCCAACAGTTAGAGCAGGGGGTCAGGGAACTTTTTTACTCCTGCGGGACAGGAGAAGGAAGGAGAGGTGGGGGCAGCTCCGGATCGCTGCTGGACGCAGGAAGCCGGTGCCCTCCCTGCCCATCCCTGGCACTGGTCTACTTGTGAGTAAGGGCCCCCGAAGGCCCTGGGCTGAGCTGGGGCGCACAGGTCGGAGGGGCTCCTCCATGGACAGGGCGTGCAGAGGTGGTGCAGGAGGAGGAAGGAGAAGCGGGGCGGCTCCAGTTCGCTGCCGGGCGCGGGAAGCCGATGCACTCCCTGCCCATCCTTGGTGTGGGTCTACTCATGAGCAAGGCCTGTCAAAGGGACAGGTCTACTCATAAGTAAGGGTCCCTGCTGCTGCCTTGGCTGCCCTGTCACCAGCCGCCAGGGAGTGAGTGCCGTCGGAGGAGGCTTCAGTCTGCCTAGTAAGTTGCTGCTTTTTGCTGTTTAGAAACTTCTGGGTGGGTTTTGCAGGGTGGGTTTCAGCTGAGGGGGGTTATGTTTCTGTGCTGTGTTGTTTGTTTTTGTTTTTTGGGGGGCAGCCTTCGGGGCTTGCTCTGTTTATTTTTGGTTTTTTTAAAAAGCCCCAGCGCTTTCCAATGGGGCTTTCTGTGGTTTTTTTTTTGTTGTTGTTGTTTGTTTTTGAAATGCTGGAACGGATTAATCCCGTTCCCATGCATTTCAATGGGAAATGGTGCTTCGACTTACGAAAATTTTGAGTTACGGCCACCATTCCAATACGGATTAATTTCATAAGTCAAGGCACCACTGTATATTCTGGGTAGGTGTGATTGTTTTATTTTCTTCCATGTAGAAGCAGTTATGACTTTTAGATCCTGGATCTGTTGAGTGAAGTTGAAATAGTTCTTCCAGTGGGTTTTTGGCACTTAGCAATACTTAGTTTGGCAGAGGCAACAAGATTCTTTGTTCCATGAAAGTAAGAGAGAGAACTTCTATCTGTTTATATTTAGGAAAATCAGTTGTGGATCTGCTGAGTGCCTGTGACCAGTGATGTCTTGAATTTTGTACATCACCTCTCCAAAGTCTGTATGAACTCATTGATGAGTGCCTTTTGCTTCATTTCCCCTTTAATCCACAATTTGTTTGCACCTCTCTAAGCAATATCACTGGAGATGTACTGCAAATGTCAGACTTTGCTTCTTTTTAATTCCACATGCAAGGTAGTACCAAGTACATAGATATGAAAGAGAAATAGACTAAAAAAGTAACATTATTTTATGTAAGTTAGATTTGACCTTTAAATCCTGGGACTTTGCATTCTAATAGCCCTTTAAACATAGTTAACATGAAGTGATCACAAGCACAATGGAGGAAACTGGCATGGCAGCCTGCAACTACCTTCTGGAAGAAGGAGGACCCTGTATCCTTCATCATAATTAAGGCATTGTCCTTGATATGTCTTTCTTCTAATGTGTCTCATTCTAGCATGCTAGATAGATAGATTGAATCCTCAGTGCCTAAAGACTACAGGGCCTGCAAGTCTCCAGAAAAGATGAGTAAGACATTGTTAGGTTGGTGTGAATGAATATCTTGTTTAGTTCATGCTCCCCTTTCCCCACATACAGTATATTAGGTGCTTAACCTTTAATATACAGTGAATGCATTGCTGTGTCTAAAGGCCTGGTGCCTCTGTTTCCAGAGCAGGTCAAACCTGAAAGCTTATTTCACCAGGGAGTGGCAGTGTTTATTGTCAGGAAAGTTGATCTGAGTAAATGTCTAACAAGAGGATGTCTGAGTTTAAGTGTACCCATTCCTATTTGTGTTTGAGGGCTTGCCTGGCTTACCAGGTAAAGTTGTTGATGTAATTTGCTAATTGTGTTGATCCTTGGGAGCTAAAAAAAAAAGGGAGGATTTTAAAAAGGCATTGAATATGGGGAAAATATTTACACATACAGTATTTATTTACACACACATAAAAAGTGTGTGTTTCTCCCCATTTTAGCCACCTGCTCAGTTGATTTTTATTAAAGAGTTTTTTTCTAGAGTTATAAATGTTGAAGACTGACTTTGTAGCCTTTGTTTGCAAGAAAGTGACAGTTTGGCAGTCCTTACTACTGGCTGCAGTTTCTGCAAGGAGTTTTAGCTTAGTTGGAATTATTGGAACATTCCTGGTCAGCTGTATTAGACTGGTAAAGATTAGATTGGTTATGTACAAATATTACTGTTATTATCAGCAATCAATTCAATTCTGACTTAGGATTTTTCAGAGTTAAAGTACTCAGAAATGGTTTATCAGTCACTCTTTCTGGTGGTGTTTTGAGACTGTGCAGTTTCCAAAGGCAGCACAGGTCGTTGTCGTCGTTTAGTTGTTTAGTCGTGTCCGACTCTTTGTGACCCCATGGACCAGAGCACGCCAGGCCCTCCTATCTTCCACTGCCTCCAGGAGTTGTGTCAAATTCATGTTGGTTGCTTCGCAGACACTGTACAGCCATCTCATCCGTCACTGTCCAGCCATCTCATCCTCGGTCGTCCCCTTCTCCTCTTGCCATCACCCTTTCCCAACATCAGGGTCTTTTCCAGGGAGTCTTCTCTTCTCATGAGATGGCCAAAGTACTGGAGCCTCAGCTTCAGGATCTGTCCTTCCAGTGAGCACTCAGGGTTGATTCCCTTTGGAATTGATAGGTTTGTTCTCTTGCAGTCCAAGGGACTCTCAAGAGCCTCCTCCAGCACCACAATTCAAAGGCATCAATTCTTCGGTGGTCAGGTTTCTTTATGGTCCAGCTCTCACTTCCATACATCGCGACAGGAAAAACATCGCTTTCCTCCCAAGAAGAAGGCGTCTTTTAATTTCAGGGCTGCTGTCTCCATCTGCAGTGATCATGGAGCCCAGGAAGATAAAATTTGACACTGCCTCCATATCTTCCCCTTCTATTTCCCAGGAGGTGATGGGACCAGTGGCCATGATCTTAGTTTTTTTGATGTTGAGTTTCAGACCGTTTTTTGCACTTTCCTCTTTCACTCTCATTACAAGGTTCTTTAATTCCTCCTCACTTTCTGCCATCAGAGTGGTATCATCTGCATATCGGAGGTTGTTGATATTTCTTCCGGCAATCTTAATTCCGGCTTGGGTTTCTTCCAGTCCAGCCTTCCGCATGATGTATTCTGCATATAAGTTAAATAAGCTGGGGGACAATATACAGCCTTGCCGTACTCCTTTCCCAATTTTGAACCACTCAGTTGTTCCATGACCAGTTCTAACTGTTGCTTCCTGTCCCACATATAGGTTTCTCAGGAGATGGATAAGGTGGTCAGGCACTCCCATTTCTTTAAGAACTTGCCATAGTTTGCTGTGGTCCACACAGTCAAAGGCTTTTGCATAGTCAATGAAGCAGAAGTAGATATTTTTCTGGAACTCTCTGGCTTTCTCCATAATCCAGCGCAAGTTAGCAATTTGGTCTCGAGTTCCTCTGCCTCTTCGGAATCCAGCTTGTACTTCTGGGAGTTCTCGGTCCACATACTGCTGAAGCCTACCTTGTAGGATTTTGAGCATAACCTTGCTAGCGTGTGAAATGAGTGCAATTGTACGGTAGTTGGAGCATTCTTTGGCACTGCCTTTCTTTGGGATTGGGATGTAGACTGATCTTTTCCAATCCTCTGGCCACTGTTGAGTTTTCCAAACTTGCTGGCATATTGAATGTAGCACCTTAACAGCATCATCTTTCAAGATTTTAAATAGTTCAATTGGAATGCCATCACCTCCACTGGCCTTGTTGTTAGCCAGGCTTTCTAAGGCCCACTTGACTTCGCTCTCCAGGATGTCTGGCTCAAGGTCAGCAACTACATTGTCTGGGTTGTCCGGGATATCCACATCTTTCTGATATAATTCCTCTGTGTATTCTTGCCACCTCTTCTTGACGTCTTCTGCTTCTGTTAGGTCCTTCCCATTTTTGTCTTTTATCATGTTCATCTTTGCGCAAAATGTTCCTCTAATATCTCCAATTTTCCTGAAGAGCTCTCTGGTCTTTCCTTTTCTGTTATCTTCCTCTATTTCTTTGCATTGTTCATTTAAGAAGGCCCTCTTGTCTCTCCTTGCTATTCTTTGGAAGTCTGCATTCAATTTTCTGTAACTTTCCCTATCTCCCTTGCATTTTGCTTCCCTTCTCCTCTCTGCTATTTCTAAGGCCTCGTTGGACAGCCACTTTGCTTTCTTGCATTTCCTTTTCTTTGGGATGGTTTTCGTTGCTGCCTCTTGGACAATGTTACGAGCCTCTATCCAAAGTTCTTCAGGCACTCTGTCCACCAAATCTAGTTCCTTAAATCTGTTCTTTACTTCCACTGTGTATTCATAAGGGATTTGGTTTAGATTATACCTGAGTGGCCCAGTGGTTTTTCCTACTCTCTTCAGTCTAAGCTTGAATTTTGCTATGAGAAGCTGATGATCAGAACCGCAGTCAGCTCCAGGTCTTGTTTTTGCTGACTGTATAGAGCTTCTCCATCTTTGGCTGCAGAGAATATAATCAATCTGATTTCGATATTGCCCATCTGGTGATTTCCATGTATAGAGTCGCCTCTTGTGTTGTTGGAAAAGAGTGTTTGTGATGACCAGCTTATTCTCTTGACAAAACTCTATTAGCCTTTGTCCTGCTTCGTTCTGAACTCCATGGCCAAACTTCCCTGTTGTTCCTTTTATCTCTTGGCTCCCTACTTTAGCATTCCAGTCCCCTAGAATGAGAAGAACATCTTTCTTTGGTGTCAGTTCTAGAAGGTGTTGTAAATCTTCATAGAATTGTTCAATTTCAGTTTCCTCAGCAATGCTGGTTGGTGCATAAACTTGGATTATTGTGATGTTGAATGGTCTGCCTTGGATTCGTATTGACATCATTCTATCATTTTTGAGATTGTATCCTATTACAGCTTTTCCCACTCTTTTGTTGACTATGAGGGCTACTCCATTCCTTCTACGGGATTCTTGCCCACAATAGTAGATATGATAATCATCTGAGCTGAATTCACCCATTCCTGTCGATTTTAGTTCACTGATGCCCAGGATGTCGATGTTTATTCTTGCCATCTCCTGTTTGACCACCTCCAGCTTCCCAAGGTTCATAGATCTTACATTTGTACTTGTCCTCCACTTTTCCTCAGTAACGTGTTGGACGCTTTTCAACCTGATGGTCCCATCTTCCAGCGTCATATCTTTTAGCCTTTTGTTTCTGATCAAGGGGTGTTCTTGGCAAACATACTGGAGTGGCATTGCCATTTCCTACTCCAGGTGGATTGTGTTTAGTCGGAACTCGCCACTATGTCCTGTCCGTCTTGGGTGTCCCTGCATGGCATAGCCCATAGCTTCTCTGAGTTACCCAAGCCCCTTTACCACTACAAGGCAGCAATCCATGAAGGGGCAGCAATCAGTGGTTTATCAGTCACTCTTTCTGGTGGTGTTTTGAGACTGTGCAGTTTGCCCAAGGCAGCACAGGTAGTAGGACACAAATCCCCATCAGTCACACATGCTCTGGGTGATTTCAGGTGATTCCTCTCCAAGGAAATTCCTCTCCATTGGAATTCCTAGTGCCTGGTTCTACAGCCAGGTGCTCCAATAATGGCAACAGAACTGCCTCTTCTTTACATTACATTTCATTCAGTGTTCCCTGCTGGGTGGGGCTCCGCTTATCATGTGATACCACACACCCCTTGTGCAGGATTCCATTGCAGCTAGGATGAAAGGGACCAGAATTGATCACTGTGGGTGTGTGGACAAGGAGGAAAGCTGCACAGTGGGGGGCGGAATAATGCTTGATTGCATAGTTGTGCACCTTAGAGAAAATTTTGATTACATTACATGAAGAGAATTTGGAGTAACCGGGAACTGATAATGATGATGATTACATTGTGTTAGAAGCATTTCCATATGATTTTGAAAAAATCCCAAAGCAATTTTCTCTATGAAAGAGTTTTTAAAATGTGGTGTTGATAGTGTGGAAGAACTACAAGCTGCATTCATTTTTGGTGTTCAAAACAGATTGCAGGTCTCAGAACTCTTTCATGTATTTGTCATTTTGCATAAAATTCTGTTCCATGGATATGAGGAGTCTAGAAAAACATCCAAGTATATTTGAGGAGGAAAAGTCTGCTTTCTGCTCTACAGTGATAAGTTGAAGACAAGACAGGCAACTTTGAAAAGCCTTGGTACCATAATTTTGCCCCAGCACCCATCTTGTAAACAACATTATGCTAGGGAATTAACAAATTTATGGGGGGAGGGGGGATGTTAAAACAGAATGTGACCACATGTTTTCATTTTTGTAATTTAGTTGGTCCTGCATATCTCCCCAACTGTTCTTTCATTTTTCCCTGGGTTCTGTCACCAATGATAGGGTCATCAGGGAACTCAAACAGTGGGCTTGGGGGCTGCATATGGCCCAGAGGCACAGCTTGCCCACCTCTTCTCTTGCTTACCAGGGAGGTGCAGACATGTCATGATTGTTCACTGATACTTTGAAAGTGTCCAGAAATAAAGGTATGGTGGTATATAGCATTCCTATAATGGAAACCTGGGTCAGTGATAAGTATGCATTAGAGATGGGTATGAATCAGAAAAATGGTAATTCATTTTGATTCGATTCAAATTATGAATTTATGATTTTTTTCTGACGAATTGACAAATCGACCTGTTAGTTCAGTTTTTTACTTTAAAACCCTACAAATAACCCCCCCCCCAGCACCTAGAGACACCAACATTGCAGAGAAGCTTCCCTTGACTCATCCAAGTTTGGTAAAGATTGGGTTTCAGACATCCAAGTTATACACCCACAAAATGGGTTCCCCTAGGAACCTGCCCTTTAGCAGCTGGCTGGGCGGAACCCAGTCTTCACCAAACTTGGAGGGATTGTAGAGGAGAATCATGGGAAACGTCCCTGCAGTTTTGATGTCTCTAGATGCCTGGGGTGGGTCATTTTATAGCTCAGTTAATCAAATAAAAATCATTAAAAATTCATTGATTCGTATTTATCAGGGGGCATTGATTTGTACAAACATGAATTGATGAATTAGGGATTTTTGAACAAATTTGGTGATTCATTTTTTAATTTGCGCCCATCTCTAGTATGCATTCTCTGCTACATGTACAGACAGGGTTGTTTTATATGCGTGCTTTGTCTAATGAAAGGAATTTTTAGTTTTAACTGCAACTTTTTTCTTGCATTCAGAAAATGTGTGTCTACTAGAGAAGGGAGTATTTGTATATGAATATCCATGTACAGCTGAACTTAATGGGTCCACTCACGTGTCTGCTGCTGACGGCAGCCCCGCTCATCCTTCCATTCACTCCTGAAGCCCCGCTCTCTTCCATCTTGTCTGGCCACTCCAGGCAGGGGGAGGGAGTATGAGTCTTCCTGCATGGGTGCCAAATGGCTAGCCAAGTGGGAAGAGAGCAGGGCTTCAGGAGTGATTGGAAGGATGAGTAGAGCTGCCACCGCCAGCGGACATGTGAGTCTGGCCCCAGGAGAGTGACCCTCATTAAGTCCAGCTGCATGGAGATATTTGTATATGAATATGAATAGCCCCATCTCTAGTGTCTACATTGCTTTCTTGCATTTTTGTGCTTGTTGTTTATACCTAACTTGTCTGGTTTGGTCATGAACGCAAACAAAAGACGTTCTGTGGAGAGACAGAACGCATGTGTATTTGAGCGATCCTAATAGTGTGCATGTTGACTGATGTCCACTTTATTTGTAAAATGACTGAATGAATTATAGGATCAAATAATTTACTTTCTCAATTTTGTAGCCAGTAAAATAAATTACAAATTACAGTTACACCATTCCATGTCCACTACTAGCAGGTTTCAGTTTTTCCTTCTTAAATTACGACAGGATTGAGCCTTGTACAGCGTATTAGGCCAGACTTCAAGAGAAAGTATTCTTCCATGTTTGATGATGATACAGTCACGGAATATATCTACCATTGTAATGTGCAGTCACCAAGGTAAGCTTTAATTAGCTGAATTCTGTACACTAATGACATTGATTTTATTTATTGATTGATTGATTGATTGATTGATTGATTGATTGATTGATTGATTGATTGATTGATTGAGTTGATTTGATTTGATTTGATTTGATTTGATTTGATTTGATTTGATTTGATTTGATTTGATTTATATCCCGCCCATCTGGTCTGGTCGACCACTCTGGGCGGCTTCCAATAAGATTTTCTGAGTGTAGCTCCTTGTATGGAATACTGCGTTCAAAATTTACTTTTTTTCTTTTCTCATATTCTTAAGTGGTGAAACAGCTTTCAAAAACATGACAGTTCCATATGGATGGGCAAAAAGGCCAATGCTGAAGCGAATTGCCGATATGCACAAAGACATTCCCATTACGGTGATTTATGGAGCACGATCATGTATTGATGGCAATTCTGGGACCACCGTCCAGTCTTTACGACCAAGTTCATATGTGAAAACAATAGTAAGTGGGATGTTCTAGTCATTATGTCAACATCTATTATTAGCTACTTGCCTTTGCAGTGTTTTTGAATGACAGCTTGACCATTTCAAAAGGATACAAGATTCTTTGGGAATCTGGCAGATAGTGCTGGTTAACATTTTTCCTAGTTCTGAGGCAGATCTAGATGGTTATGATTATATCAAAACTCAAGCAACTTTTAAAAACATTTTTCTGACATTATACCAGTGCTTCCTTGTGTTTCTTAAATAGATGTGAAAGTCAGTGACTGTTGGCATAGATTCAGATTTATGCCGAATTTTATTACCCATCTGTAGCCAAGTCATACTGTTGGATCTCTCTTGCTTCTCTATGCTGAACAGATGGAGAGATGATCATTTACGTACTGCATTCCCTCCTCCAAACCCTGCAAATCTGCAGCAGTGCAAAATATCTTCAGGTGACTCTTTGCAGTGATGTTGGCCTGTGACCACTTCACTAGGAAAAGCCTTTGTAGTTGAATAGAGGTGTTGCATGTGGTTGTTGTGTGGTAGTGCAGAATATGATGGAGAAGGAGCGTGAAAAGCAATAACTTTCTTATTTGGGATTAAATCTAATACTAGTCCTATGGAGAGAATACCTATTAAAGTGAATGGGATTTGCTATTCAGCAGTTAATTTAAGCCCCAGTGAGTTCTGTGGATCTTTTTCATATAGGATTAGTTTTGGATTTAAGCCTCTGGCAACCTGAAAAGCATTGTAGATGCAACAGCGTTAGCTGTGCCAGTATCAGTCCATGATTAACTATACTAGCTGAATCATTTTATAAATGGGATTGCAAGAGAAGACAGCATTGCTGAACAACTTCATTGTCAGCTGTCTAGTGCTCTGCTTTATACTGTATATGTCTGGGATGAGAAACTTATAATATCCTGTCTTTATAGTCTGTGACTTGAATTTGGGAAACTATACAGTGGTGCCTCGCAAGACTATTGCTTCGCAGGACAACGAATTCGCTTTACGATGATGATGAATTTGCTTTACGATGTTAGGACCTTGCCTCGCAAGACGGTTAAATTTTAGGTCCCTGCTTTTTGCTTTACGATGTTTTTGACAGCTTGGTCTTGCTTCGCTATACGAGTCTTTTAATGGTCTCTGTTTCGTTAGACAGCTGTCTTCGCTTGGGAACTGCGTTTCGCTTAATGATGTTTCCTATGGCAGTTTTAGCTTTACGATGACAATCCGTTCCCGTTGGAACAGATTATCAGGTTTTCAATGCATTTCAATGGGAAAACGTGTTTCACAAGACAATGTTTTCGCTTAACAGCGATTTTTGCAGAACAAATTAACATTATCTTGCGAGGCACCACTGTATTTGTATTACTTGCAGTTACTTGATATGTTCTGTAAACAACATTGGTCAGAATCCTGTTATTTACGCTGCCTGCTGGCTTAATTCCAGCAGCACAAATCTCAGTGGAGGTGCTTGCAGCTAAGAAGTCCATGAAGGCATTTGTTGTTGCTCACCAGTTGTGTGACTGGACACATAACAGAAAATGTCTATACTGAGGCAGTTTGCTTAACAGGAAATGCTTAACCTGTGGCATTTTGCAGCTGAAATGTTACACTGGAGATACATTGAAGTACTTTTTCAATTGGATTCTGGACATTCTTTTTTTGTGAGTGAACCTTAAATGGATGTTTCTTCCCCCAACCCCCTTACTTTCCATAGGCTATCCTTGGTGCAGGCCATTATGTATATGCTGATCAACCTGAGGACTTCAATCAGAAAGTAAAAGAGATCTGCAATTCTGTGGACTGATAAGATTCTGCTCTTTGGGAATGGGAGCTACGGAGGCAATTCAAAGCAATACTTTGTACTATTTTACAAGCATTAAGGAATACAGAAGCCTAAAACAACAGATTTTGTTTGCACCATTTATTTCAAATGTTTGCACACTTTAAACCATTCAGTGCCTTTTACTGAGGGGAGATATAAAATTCAACAATATTGTACATTTTAATTTGATGCTGTTCTTTGTATACTTAGATAAGATATTGGTGTTTCTATGTATACTAAACATGATTTTAGAACTGGATTCCTTAAAATGGAATTCTGAAGAATTTAGAACATTTAAAATTGTTCTATGAGTATATAGCAAGGTTTTCTGTAGTAAACATTCTCACAAAATACTGAGTAAAATGACAGCTTGGCTATTGCAGTGTGTGCCATCTTCATACACTGACTTTTCAAAAGGGGAAAATGTTTCACAACTTTTTCTGTCAAGAAACTGTACAGAACATATTTATATTTTGCTGTACCTTATGAAGTGGACTATGCCAAATTAAGTACCACTGATGAGCATCCAAGACAAAAGTAAATTTAGCAAGATTTAGGAAAAGACTGAGCAGTGCTGATTTTTTTTCTATCCTCTTGGAACCTTTTGTTGTTCATTGCATTAACTATTATTGTTATTGGATATTTTCTCAGATATGTAATTCTTTAAGATGCTAATACATCTAACACATACCTTTAAAGCAGTGTATAAGTCTGGAGGAATGGAAGACAAAATGCCTTTTTAGTTGTACATCTTTTTCATTTGGCAATATGATTATTGCAACATCTATAGTCAGTTTGACTATAGATGCTAGCATGAGAATTTTATATTCAATTAGTTGTTGAACTAAAAGACCACTGTGATGTTTGTAATATGTGGATGAGTGTACTTATACAAATTTAACATTATTGGAACTGGAAGAAAAACTAACTTTGTCAAAAGACAGGTATCCTATAAAAAGAAGGCATCATAAATTAAATAATGCAAATGGATCAAGAAATATAATGTGACCCCAGAATTATTAATTTTTTTGATAAAAATGTGATTTTTATGCAATGTTTTCAGTAAGAGCATAAATAGGCTTTGGTGCTTCACAAAACTGTAAGTCGTTAGTTTCTTATTGAATTAATATAAGTAAATTTGTCAACATAATGGCAGATTGCATGGTTTTTAACTGGTTATGTTTTGGATGTTGAAAATAACTACTGAACTTCTGATGTTTCTGACATAAACTTGGAACCAGTCTAAAGTAATTTGTGGCAGTTGGTTATTGCACCATCTCATGAAGTTATAATCTCAGGTTGTATTACAGAAATGCAGAATTGACACCCCAAGAAAGATTTACTTAGTGGCATTTTAATTTTGAACAATCATTGTAGTAACTTTGACTATAGTGCAAGGCTTCTTTGTACCACCAGAGCTCCCAGGGAGGAACTGCTACATTTCAGGGGGAAATTTAAAGGATTATCTATATAGTGTTTTAGCTTTTAATCTGTTTTTTTAAAGGACTTTTTAAATATAAAGAACTGGAAAAGATATTCTCTTCATTCTCTACTCCATATGGAGAATCAATTTAAAAAATCAGTGCTATTCCACAGCTGTAACCAATCAAGCAGGCTTATCTCCGATCTCTGAAAGAATGGATTTACAAGTATGACAGCAGAACCAAATGCCTTGAGAGGTGGTGAATGCTCCAAGGCTAGTGGGGCTAATCCACAGCTGCAACCAATCAAGGAGCTTATCTCCAATCTCTGAACTAATGGAGGATTTACCAGTGCCTGCTGCAACTAGGAAGTAACAGGGAGAGGTGGCTTACAATTTGACTTTTGCCTGCAGAGAGTGGGGGTGGGAAGGAGGGGGTAGCACTCTGCTCATTACCCCCAGATTTTCACTTTTACCCCATTTGGGGCAATTTACCCCTGTTCCCAGACCACTGCTTTAGATATATTCAGATTATAACTCCCATCAGCTCTAACCCATGGTGAGGAATCAGGGGAGTTGCAGCCCAACAGCATGTGGAGGGCAACAAGTTGCTCACATCTGGACTAGAGGACAAGTGCCAAATAAATATCTCCCCACCCCCATATTACTTTGAACTAGATCAACTTGATCTGCTATGCACAGGCTGCTTATCAAAGTTTTGCACAATGAAATTATTCAAATTATATTTCCTTGTACTTTAATTGGTTGTTCCCGTGAGTAATTGTAGGGGAGTGTGACTGGTTGATGGTTAGTTTACTTAAGCTTCATTAACTAACAAAGATATGCTGATATTTTGTCCAAATTATAGTTTACAATTACTTGCGAGCTTTTGTATTTTAAAAAGCACAGTTGTTTACCTATGATTTCTGGACATAATTAGACATGATATACAATATCTCATGCCTAAAGATGCTCTAATAATCATGTAGAGTGGGGAGCTGACTGGGGAAGCAATGCTGGGAAGGAGGATATTTGACTTCTCCCTTTCATGTGGCCGTATCAGGCAGCACTGAGTTTTCCTGAGCCTTTATTTGGGAGGTGTCTTGGATTAAATGTTAAACCTCCTAACCCAGCATGCAGAATCTGTGCTATTTCACTCATTCTGTGTAAACCACATCTTGGTTTTAAGTGTGTGAGGTAGAAGGGCATTTATTCCGTGCTCTGTGTATGCTCAGAAGCACTCAATACATTTTAGCTTAAGACATCTCCAGGCTTTGTGTACTGACTGATTTTTGTAGCCATGTATTTCAGGACTCTGGTATTGCAGTGGAGTAGCGTTCTCTGATTAAACACTTCTTTTATTCCTCATTAGGCTTTTCTAAACCTTGACCATTCCTATTGAGCTAAACAATCCATGATGTTTGAAGGTGACTAAATGGCATACACCAAAGTAACAAACAGAATTTTTCCTGTCAGTCTCTTGGTGTTAACATGACACCATGTATAACAACACAGTGTGCTAAAAGTCCCCACTAACAACACCCAGCATTAACAGATTAGATTTCTGAGCACAGGAACGATTAATACTGTTAAGCCTCTTCAATGTGAAGTCTTTTCTACTAATGTTTTAATCTCTGGTGGAAAGGCAAGTGGTTACTATTCAACTTTGGGATGATGGTCAGTTTGACTCAGCGCTTCTCTAACCCAGTGTATTTAGGAATGAAGACATTCAGAACTTGTTTGTGAAACTTTTCCAAGAGAGGGGGAAAATATAGCACAAATGGAAATCACTAGTAAAGTCTAACAGAGCCACATGAAGGGATTTAGACTTTTACAATAATTCCCCTAACTTAAGTGCTATTGAACAAGAGACAGAAAAATGTCAATGCCATCTATTCTTCACACTGTAATTTCCAATAGATTTATAGTTTGAGCTGTAAACTATTGTTTCCATAAAATAACCCACACAGTCTTTAATCCAATTAAGAGAACTTCCTCAGAGTCATATAGTCTGCTTCAATGTGTGCCAGTAGAGTTAAGACTATGTTTTACTTTCTTTTTTGCTCTACATAACATAGAATTTCTGAAAGCTTATATGGTTTAAAACCAATGGCAATATCATGAACTTGTTCTAACAAGGTAGCTCCACACACTGAAATTAAACTGTCATTGCCATAATCATATTGGTTATTTCAGCCAGCATTAGTGTGATGGTGTAAACTGCAGTAGCAGATTATGGCTAGTTAGCACATTAACCATTTGTAGTTTTCATTGTGCACTAGTCATGTGGCTTGGCACATGATATGAAATGAAGGAGGCAGTCAATTAGTGGCATTTTGCTGCTGCAGTTTACCATTACACATTGGTATAAAATTTATAAATAATCAATAGGATTCTGGCCAATATTTATTTGTAATGTTTGGATTTGGCGAGCATGTTGCTCATAAGCTTTTGTTAATTTGAAAAAAGCTTTACTTATCACAAGCAGACCGTAGTCCCAGAATTATTTATATTCTGAGGAGACTGGGCCCCTCTAACTTACTGGGGGCATGGCTTGCAGTGTGGCAGATAGTAATTGTGAGGGCAACTTATCTGTGGCTCCAGAGGCAGCCTGGCAGTATTCCAGCAGCCACCACTGCTGCATTGTCATGTTTCCTACCACTGGTACAGCCAGGCAATCAGGTGAAGGCTTGACCATAGGTTGGGCTCCATGGAGGCAACCCAAAGTGAAGAAATTTTCACTTTGGGCAACCCAATGAGCATATATAGAATCATAGAATCATATATAAAACTCCCCAGTTCTCAGTTTGTTCTGAGGCTTCTGTTATGTGTCCAGTCACACAACTCGTGTTCAACAACAAATGCCTCCATGGGCTTCTTAGCTACTAGCACCTCCACTGAGATTTGTGCTGCATGGGTCCAGCCAGGATGCTGAGGCCTAGCAGTTGTTCCCCAAGGATGCCAGATGTTGATATCATATAGTTGTGTCCTAACACAATCTTTGGAACTCCCAAAGTCTTTTTCTGGACCATGATGACTGGGGCTTCTGAGGATTGAGGTCATAAACATAGAGCCAAAGGTCAAGAATCATTGTCCTAGCAAAACATTCTCCCAGTGTTCGCTAGGAATAGATACCCAAACAGGAACATCCTGTAAAGAATATCCCCCAAAATGAGAGAAGGAAGAAATCAATGTAGTTAAGGGGGGGGGGGGGAGACAGAGAATGATGCTTTTTTACTTTTACTTGTAAGATTTAGCTGAGCACTGCAAACAGCTGATTAGATCTAGGTGGCCACTGCAAGCAGACTATACATCAGATTATGAATCTCTGGTGTAATGAAAACAATTTTGCCATGCTTTTGCCACTGGAGAAATTCCATTTTAAGCTGTTTCCAGGAGATGCACCACATTTCAAAGGAATGTGAACTCTGATCGCTTCCTCTGCCTCCTACAGCAGCTCTGCATTTCCTCCTCACTTTGTGTGCTAAAGCTGTGAACAAGAAATGACAAGGAAAGTTAATTTTTCTGGCACTTCTGGGGTAAATCTGACAAGCCACTTCTTATCAGAGAAGGTGCCACAAAGAATATAAAGAACACCTAGAGATTATTACTGTGGAGTCAAAGCAAAAGCCTTTTTAAGAGGCAAGACACGGACATCCTTTGAAGACATAGAAATGTGTAGTGTTCAGCATTTCTGCTTGGAGCTTCCAAGTGTATCTTAAATCCATATTTACAAAAGAAACAAGAGGGCTGTTCCTCACTAATAAGTGGAACTGAGCATGTTAGTCGTGTCATAACTTATGGGAGGATTAATTGGTTTTAAAATTTGTTCAAGAGAATATACATTTCATACATTTAGCAAGCAGTGTGGATTTCCTGTGAAAGAAAATTGCTTATCTCTTGGCTTAACCTACATCATAGGATTGTTGAGAGGAAAAAGAAAAAGAGGCTGAGGGTGCCTTATATGCTGTTTCTTGGGGAGCTGAGTAACTTTGAGGCAGGGGGTATAGAACAGAAATGGATTGCGGTCGAAAGAATGAATAATATCCATACGGTCTGTGTGCAACCCACAGGGTTCTTTTGCTTACCTATATTTGGGCTTAGGTCTGTGTGGACCCATTCTGGTGGAGCCAGGCTTTCCAGCCTCTCCTCCCACAGCTGCATCTCAAGCCCCTGGTGGTATTGTGGGAGGTGGAGAAATTAGGAAGAAGCACCTTGCAGTAACAAAACTATATCTTTAATGGAAGACAGATCCTGGATCCACTTCACTGAGTGCTATAGCCCCAATGCATCAGTGCTTTTGCAGTTGGCTAAAAAAAAAAAAGTGATAGATTGGTCCAAGGTTGTTCAGTTCACACAGGAACGTTTAAACATCTACACAGCTACCTCACTCTGCCTTCCTAAGTGCTCATATATTCATTTTACATTAATTCAGGAATTCCTACAAAAGACTTCAAGGTACATAAATAAGATTTTCACTCCCACATTAGGAAGATGTTAGCCACAAAGTGGATAATGCTGCGGTCAAATACAAACTAGGGGTTTTGTGGCTTATTCTCATGTAATACAAGCTGAAAACACAAGAAACATGAGCTGCTGCGTAATATTGTAGTGTCTCTGTCTCTATGCTTGTTCCTATGCAGAAGTGGTTTCTTCTGTCATCATCTCTTCTTGCAGAATGTCCTTGAAATCTGAAAGAAAAAAAACCCCTCTTCTCTCACTTTTTTGTTTGGTTGTGCCCGTGGGTCAGAGACAGCCTGCTGACTGACTGGCAGCTCTGTGCCTGACACAGATGCAAATACTGCCAGTCTCAACAGGATATGAAAA